AAGGGCACGAGTGTATCATACTGTACATATAGAATTACAAGCTATTTAGGATATAAAGTGATATTTAAATACTTTAAAAAATATATAAGTGTATTATAATACTACTTTTTTTAAGGGGGAAAATCATCGAATCTTCTTCCGTCTGGGTGAGGCGGGAGGGAGTGTCAGACTTCTCCCGCCTACGGCTCTGTATCGGCATCAGCTTTATTGCGCACCATCCGTGGTGGTCTGATGGCGCGCCGTACGCTCGGATATTATAATACTTCTTGGGTGCAAGGAAACGGAGCATCTAGCGACTTCTTTCGCTTTGGGTGATGCGAGAGGAGTGTTAGACTCTTACTATAAAACTACCCCATCCTACTCCTGATTCGACCCAGGTAACCCGCAAGGCCATCCACAGCCGCAGCTATAATTATTATTCGAGTCTATACCTTAAGTATACTATTACTGAAAATAAAATAAACCAAACTACCAAAAACAAACGAAAAAGAGCGTATTCCTTTTTAAAAGGCCGGCAACGCACCTGTGGCTCTGTGATGTTGCGGGTGTCCATGGGCGGCGCTGATCGCTTACCATCAGGTGATCCGTCTGCTCGTTTGCCTACTATTCCATAAAAAAATATTTTGAAAATTAACTTACAGCCAAAATGGGGTTCTTGGCGCGTTTCTGGACGCTGAACTTGAAGATCAGCGCGGTTGTCATTGCGGCTGACGTGGCGGACAGGTACGCCACTCCCATCTGTGTAGTCGTGAGGGGGGAGTTCGCATTCCGGTTGGTGTAATTCACTAAAGCATTGAACGACTGGTTCACCCACTGCCAGAAGACTACTGCTACTGGTGTTCTGTGAATAATATTGATGTTTTAATCATATATACTATATATACTTATACTATTATATAAAGCTAAAGAATTTGTTTGTTTGTTTGCTTGTTTGAACGCGCTAATCTCCGGAACTGCTGGTCCGAATTGAATAATTCTTTTTGTGTTCGATAGACAATTTATCGAGGAAGACAGGAAGAAGTTATAAAACATCACGCTACGATCAATGGAAGCCAAGCACAGCTGGTAAAACAGCGCGGAAGTGGCTAGTATAACATAAATTAGTTTACTTTCTGAAGCATATCCTGTCAGACAACAGATTCAGTTTTTAGATACGCACGCTTTTTAGCACCGCACATGTAATAAAGGATGAGCCTATTGCCATACAAACAATACACTGCACATAATTTCAGACTCTAATACGTATAGTCGTAAGTAACAATTTCGAAAATTCCGATAACTATGCAATGTATAGTTTATCATATATATATATAGTTATATATAGTTCATACTTTGCCTACTCGAAACCAAGACTCGACACTTGCGTTTATGAATGGTCGGTGTTTCTATTCAGCATTCATTTTTGCAACTCGCGAACAATTCAGAGAATGTAAACATTAAACAAGTACTGACATCACGTGGTCCTTGAATACAATCTGTGAAGTTTTTAACTTTCAACTCTATACCTTAGGTCATAGAATTGACATTAACACTTCGCGAACACAACCCGGTTATTAGGATTTTGACCCATATTGGCTAGATGCCACTGAAACAGCATTTTATTCACATTTTACACTAAAGTCCTCTAAAATAATGGTTGATGTGAATAAACATGTTTTGCATGCAAACTATTATTAGATTTATTGTTTGAACTCATTACATTTGTCTGGTAACTATAATATAGGCTCCATATACCGAAAGCAAACTAGAACATGGGACTTTAGACTTTAACACTACTGGGATAAGGTGTTATAGCTAATTGATATTTCCACCTCTGTCTGCCGCTTCAGGATATAAATATGCTTTCCATTAATTTAGTTTTACATATATGGCAGCTAGCGCACCACCTATGGCAACTACCCATTAAAAATTTAATACAATTTAAACTCTATTGCAAAAAGTTAAACTTCAAACTCATCTGTACATCACCTAGTTAGTATTAAACTGTCAAACACCAAGCGGTCACCGGTGACCGCAACCTATTGTTCTATAATTGTGTCTACAAAACCGGTACTCGACGAGTTAATACTCAACTCACCTATACCATTGCAACATGGCTCCAGTAATAAGACACCCTCCAGGCATCTGGAATGACATTCTGCCGAACACATTCTGCAGCTCACCACTGTCAGGGTGGAACGCTGACTCATATAGTTGCTTCGCTCTAACCAGCTGCTCATATTTTGTGCCTGCTGGTTCTGTACCTGATCTAGTTGAAAATAGAATTGGTTTGTTGATAATTTTTATGACAGTATACCTAGTTTTTGGTAAACAAACTTTATACGGACACTGACCCTGAGGTAATCTTTTGTGAACATTTAACAAATAAGTAGCATCTGATTGAATGTGAAAATAAAATCACAGAAAACCGACATGATGACAATGCTTGGTTGCGTGAATGAGGTTACCAGAGGCCCAATCTCCCCAATCCCTCCTCCCTCCCCCTTCCCCAATCTCCCCAACAATCCTCAAATTCCTAATCCCTAAAAGGCCGGTAACGCACTCGGCGACGCCGATTGCTTACCATCAGGTGATCCGTCAGCTCCTTTACCAGATTATCCCATAAAAAAAATCTTTTTAGAATGAAACCTATTTTATACATATAAATTTTTTGACAGTTCGTTTCTCTAAACAGAATCGCTCTTTAGGCCAAACATTAAGCACTTTCGAATATAATGGTTTGATTCACACCTATGTATAAATTATGGTGGATAAATTCATGTTGGTGTCATTGTGTATGTGAACTTGTATGTTTGTAAACGCACCCACAACACAGGAGAAAATCCTAGTGTAGGGCAACAATTAAAAAAAAACATTAACAACATTAATGTAACTTACTTGTACTTCAAATACAGATCCTTTGCCTGGTGCAGTTCTTCCTCTGAAGCTAAAGAGAGTAATGGGTTGGAAATGAAGGCAAAGTGCCTGAATCTTCCCATAAAGGTACTCTGGTCCCAAAGAGGTTGGGTGATGTCTATCCTCTCCATATTCATAATCTGGTGGAAGGAAATATGTAGAAGATTTAAGTATATAACAATTAAATGATGTAATTGTACTTATTTTATTTTATTAGGGAAACAAACAATATGGTTTAAGTACAATGAAAGATAAAAATATAATGAAAGTATCTGAATATAGACAAACCATATTGCTTCTAAAACTCTAATAATTTTATCAACAATGAAATTGTTTTCAATGGCTCGGTCTGGCACGGACCATATGAAACTCCACTGCAATGCAGTAGGTAATTGATTGAATAAAAAATATATAATGTATAGCTAAATGAAAATGACAGGTATTTATGAACAATCATTACTTTCAATAGACTGCATCATGTTTCATTTGTAGTAGACAGCATTAATAAAAGAAATGGACTATAAGATACAAGACAATTGAAAAAGATGGTCATAATAATTTGTAGAGTTCTCGATATTAAAACATTGTCTAAAAAGTCTGTTTTAAACTTACTGGCCCATAATGTTAGCTAGTTTTTTTTAAACTTTATGGTGTAATTATAGGGCTTTTTTCCTAAAAAGGAACATGTCAGCTCTATTACTACATACAAACTTAAACCTAAAACTAACTACAATAAAGTGAATTAACCCTTAAACTTGGACATTAACTTGGTCACCGGTGACAGCTTGGTGTTTGACAGTTTAAACTGTCAAACACCGAGCCGGTGATCGCAACCTATTGTTCTATAATTGTGTCTATAATGACGGTACTCGACGAGTTAAATAATTAAATGATGGAGCACTTTTAGCTATTAATACATAGAATTATCAATTACTATGGCAGGCATTTTAACAACAATAGTTACACTTCAAGTCAGCTTAATAACAGCTTTTCTCTCATTATTTTGTAATGTTATTTATTTTTAACATACATAAGTCCATACAGACTTGCTAGTCAGCATACACAAAAAGAATATCGTTTTCCTCATAGGTAAGTTTAGTTGCAATTTTGTTAGTGTTAAATATTAGCTATTCTCAAAACTGTTACATGAAAAGAAATGTCTAGTGACATTGCATGCTTTTTATTTGAAGTTTCAAGGCCTTTTTCTGTACAAAATTAGTCTCATTAACAGCTGACTTTCGACTGCTATGTAATTAGTACTTTACACGCATATTTATAAACGTTCAAATGTCTCAATAGTGGTCAGACAACTTGAGCCAACAAGTTATTATATTCAGAGGCCTTGAATAAATGGTAGACAAACACATGTACGACAAAAACTGCCGTTTAGCAAATCAATAAACAAAAAGAAGAATAATTACGAATAGATTATGTAAGTCCGCATTTAAAAATTAAATTTCTATTATATGCAGATAAATTGTAAGTTAAAATAACCAATATTTTACTTACTTTAGTATGTATTAATTTCCTGAAGAGAGAAAATTAATATTAAGTAAAGATTTTTATATAAAAAGATATAAAATACGTGCGCGTTGCGCCAACTCAGTAAAACAACCTGCCGCGATCGTAAATCGGCAAATGGTTGGAAAAATTGTCAAGTGTCAACTGTCACGTTCTTATCGTCTGTCATCCTCAATGTCGAATTATAGTAAACCGAGTGAAACGGAGTGTAATTTTAGTGAACTCTAAAATATCTTGCTTCAAAATCTTGAGTGTAAAATAATAATAAACGCTGAATGCAATTCTGTTGCATTTTCTGGCGTTCTCCAAAATATTAATTTAGTGAAAATCTTGGTCACACGTCTTTGCCTCTTTACCTCACCTGGGAATCAAACCAACTGGAACGGCAGATTTCATTTGTTTTGTGTGGGTCCTTGTGGTATATTACACTCTTTATTTAATTTATGCACAGTTATACTGTTTTTTTATTTATTTTCCAAAATCATAAAGTTATTTTAGCTATTTATAGGTGGGTCTCATACTCTCATCTCATCACAACTGTTCATTTATTATGGAAAGGTGGAATTTCTAAGATATTGTGTTGATTTACCAGCTAGAATTTGTACCAAAATAACAACTTGTGAAATTATCTATAATGAATGATAATTTCACATGAACTATGAATATCTACTGTTAGGTGAAATATTAATAAGAAATGTAAAAATAAAAATTAAGAAATCAACATCACATTTTTATTGTAACCATTTCTAAGCAGTCGGTGGTGAAGTTTCGTATCATTGTTTATGGCTAACAAAATATGGCGGCTGTCGTAGCAACAGCCGATATGACGATTCAAAAGAATTCTCAGATTTTAGTAAATGTAGAAGAAGCTTTAGCTGATTTAATTGTTGTATCGTATTGCACTGAGGATAAAAAGTTTCAAGGCGTACTCCTGGACTCCAACAAAGGGTAGGTAACAAAAACATGACCGAGTGTGCCTTTATCGATTTATGGAAAATCTCCTGAAATTATTTCTAATTTGACCGTATTTTTGCAGTAATTTACCATATGGTGTCTATAGCCTCAACCCAGCATTCAGTAAACAGGTTGAATCCACAAATGAAAGCGATAAGTTACATTCCGTTAGCCAAAGGTTCACCTACCAAGAGCCTCAATATGAGGGCGAGAACTCGCAAAAATCAAAGAAACCAGCTGCAAAAGGTAAACAGCAACAAAAGATGACCGTAAGACTTCGACCTCGGAAGGTCTTGTGTTCTAATTGCCAAGGGATTTGTAATGAGAATAATGAAAATGTAGACGTGTCTAAAAAACGTAAGATAGAATCTGATGACGATACATCACACTTCTCTGACTCATCAAGGACAGAAAAAAAATATTTAATGGGCAGCATGCTTATACCCAAGCTGTCCAGGCTGCAGCCCAGTGAAATCACGAGTGCAGTTAAGGGCTCAGCGAAAAGTTCCAGTAAGGCTAGTGACAAATCAATTAAAAGTAAGAAATCTAACACAGAGACTGTAACACAAGAAATGGCGTTTGTCAGCGTTTCTGAGGATATGGAAGGCGACAAGGATGATGTGAAAGATGAAAATGGCATTTCTTTTAGTTCAATGTTTTCTAGTGCAAAAACTCTAAAAATATGTTTTGGGGAAGGTGAAGGAACAGTAGTTAAGATACCACCACTTGCAGGAGATTTTAATGAAGATTCAGGTGTGTCATGTGATATGGGAAAGCCAACAAAACCCGACTCAAAAGCAGCTAAAAAGGCATTAAAGAAAGCAAAAAAACAGGCAAAAAAGAGTACCTCTGTAGAAAAAAGTCAAACTGTGCAGTCCCCAAAACATATTGGCGCATTATCCCCACATAACAATGTATCAAGTCCAACACTAGACCCTTTAGAAAAGAAACACAAGCATAAGGTAAAGCATAAAAAAAAGTATAAGAATCAGAAGAAACGTGATGAAAACACAAGCAAATGTGGAGAGAGTGAATCAGTGGACTATTTTAGTGATATTAAAGAGCATTGTATGAACCAGAAGCTCTGCATAAGCTTACGAAGACTAAGTAGTAATTCTCATGAGAAGCAGAGTGAAAATGATCCTATAGAAAGTGGTTCAGAAGACTGGGACAGTGAGGTTGTGCCAGATTTCCCTGCAAATGGTACGGAGGGTGTTGGTGGAAAGGTGTTACGGGTTTCGGTTGGAGATGTAGTGTGGGGAAAGGTGGTAGGGTTTCCATGGTGGCCAGGCAAGGTTCTCAATGTGACACCATCATCCAGAGCACATGTAGCATGGTACGCTTCAACCACCTCATCTCTCATGCCATGTGATAGCTTGAGTCCATTTTTAGAAGATTTTAAGGTGAGTTCTTTTCATAGATTTTTTTATTTGGTTGTATCTTCCATGATTTCTTTGAATTGAATAACCATTCATACAGTAATTAAATGCATGCTCTTTATGAGTCATTCCGAGATTAATGTTTGGCATTGGCATTGGCAGAATATCAAATGTATTTCTGACAAAGTGTATTCAGAGCTTACTATCATCTTTATATTTGAAATATTACTGTCTTCATTTCGTAAAGCTAAATAGTTATGATTAAACATTCGATTCCGATAATAAAATTAGGGAGGGGAGGGAAGGGAGTAAATTAATATCTGATGTATAAAAATGTTTGAGATTAGTTCATGAAAAATGAATTAAGATATTTGTTTTCATTGTAAATAGTTCCCCTTTTATCTCACTTAACTGATAAATATTATCATCAGAAAAATAATACATTATTTTCCATAACATGACATCATCTCTTGTTTCTCAGTAAAGAAAGCAGACACGCG